TAGTTGCACAATCTAATCATTCCCAGCAGCTAAAAGCACAAACTTTAGAGCCAGAGATATGTGGGGTCAATCCCCAGCTCCCCAACCAATGGCCCATTTGCCTTCCGGTGGAAAATGACCAGAGGCCTAGGACAGGTTTGCCTGTGGGAGGCCTCCATGCCACAGGTGGGGTTAGCCCACTATCTTACCGTTTTAAGAGGAAGCAAATGGCATGAGTCTAAGTACCACACTTGTTTGGTGCTGGGTTTGGTGAGGGAGAAATTGTAAGACATCCTTAAGTTCAGGTTCAGGACTTAGCACGGTACCTGACACCAAAGAACAGTTGGAACCAAGATGGCAGCTGTTATGAACAAGATCATTGCTGACTGTCAAAGAACCAAACTTGTCTTGACCCTAAAAACACAATGGCTAGATTTATTTTCCTCTAATACAGTGGTGTCATCAGCATAAACGATATGAATCCATTTAATAACAGGACTTGACCAACCACAAACTACTGTAAACCTCTGTATTTGCTATAAGAAGACATCCAACTTCACAAAATGAGTAACCTGAGGTTAATTCTTTGCTTTGCAAAAGAACGCATGGCTTTTAGATGGCTTTAAGTGATCAGGATAACATTGAGTGATATACAGTCCCTCTGTGAACCTCCTGTTACCTACTCCCAACACATACGGGTCCACCCCGTCTCCAACCGGTGGAAATGTCTGCAGGCCAGGAAATCAATGAACTTCCCTGACCTACAGATTTCTCCAGGTCTCCTCCCAGGATGAACTTCAGCGGCCAAGTATCCACTCTGGTCCCCTATTTTCCTGAAAAGGAACCTCGCTGCCTCTGCCCCATCTAAGCCCTGCATTTAGAGACTGGAGGGGAAATCACAATTCCCCACGTGGCCTCCATCTAGAAGGGGCTGTGATGCTTGCCCGTGCTCACATCAAGATCGCTACACCTGGTGGGCTTTGCCACCACTGCCCGTTGTGTCATCCTGGATAAGTCACCGAGCCATCAGCAATGGCACTTACATCCCTCCCTTGCAAAGTAATCATCGCTTATGCCTCTCAACTCATTCTGCAATGGATGAAAATAAAACATAGAGGGGGGACAATGGAAGCAGCCAGAGGCAGCTGGGATCTCCCCTGCAGCTTCAACTTCTCTGCTCAGCTCTGCTTCCTGGTCAGCATGAGACAACTTTTTTCAACATGTTGTGCACCAAAGTAGTTCATTGGAAACACTGTAATTAGCATTACAGTTAAAATGACACTATTGCAATGTTAATTACTACAGTGCAGATGTACCATTAGATATCATACATAATGTTGTCAAGCTTTTATTTTTAAATTAAAGTGCAACAAACCATACCCAGGCTACACAGCTTTTTTTGATTAATACAAATTAATGTTATTTCAGTGTCTAGGGAAAGGGTGGGGATAAGGGGGTGTTGCATCTAGCAGTAAGAAAGCACAGGCAAATGGTCAAGTTGCAGGTGGATTCCTCATAACTCCCTTCCCCTTCTCTGGTCTCTGCTTGGTGGAGAGTGTGAGCTCCGTGAGGGCAGGGACTGTGCCTGGTTTTAGTCACCATGCCATCCTCAGCTCCTAGCACACAGTTAGAGGCGTTATTCGGACTCTCGATTTCGGCTCAGGTCATGATTGCAGGGTCGTGGCATGGAACCCCACCTAGGGCTCTGCACTGGGCATGGAGCCTGCTTAAGATCCTCTGTCTCTCTCTCTCTCTTTCTCTCCCTCCCTCTGTTCCTCCCCCACCTCACATGGTCTCTAAATAAAAAATTAAATAAAATAAAATAAAAAATAATAAATTAAATAAATAAAATCCTAAATGAGGGGCAAACGAACCATCATAATGCAGGAATCAGTGGAAGTCCTTCATTGTGATGTTTAATAAGCAACATTGTATCCCAATGGGCACTGGGAAGTGGGGAAGATCCGCATGGGTCCCTGGACATCAGCGAGGCACCCATGCAGAAGTCAAAGGAGGAGGAAGGAAGAGAATGAAAATGTTGGACTGTTACATGTATTATTTACTTATTTGTCACAACTCATGAGGGAATTTTTCCCCAGCATTTTTTACTGCAGTAAAATACACATACAAGGTTTACCATATTAACCATTTTTATATATACATTTCCGTGGTCTTAAGTCCATTCACATCGCCGAGCAACCATCACCTCCAACCATCTCCAGAACTCTTTTCCTCTTGCAAAACTGAAAGTTCTGTGCCCATTAAGTAACAACTCCCTGTTTCTCTCCCAGCAGCTGCTGGCAACCACATTCCACTTTCTATCCCTATGACTCTGACTACTCTGGGGACCTCATATAAGTGGAATCTATTTACATTTAAAATAATTACTGATGAGGATGATTTACTTCTATCATTTTGACATGTGTTTCCTATATGCCTTAGAGTTTTCTATCCATTTTCATGGGGGGCCTGTGGGAGCAGGGTTCTTATCTCTATATTATGTAGATGGTTCAGGAAATTCGCTGAACCACCCAAGGTCACCAAGAGGCACACTGGGAATCTTTTGACTCAAGAGTCCTTCCTTCTCCCACCTGCTATGTGCCAGTATGTTTTTTTTTAAGTCCTGGGGAAATTCAAACAAGCGTACCACCCGTCCCCTGCCTTGTTTCAGTGTGCAACAGTTTTCTTAGGAATGTTAGACATTCGACAGGCACAGATGGAAAGATTTCCAGAAGTGCAGGAAAACCCCAGATACTTGCCTAATGGAACAGAGCATATGTCCTCTAAAAATTTAGGACGGTGGGGTTCTTGGGTGGCTCAGTCAGTGAAGCATCTGCCTTCTGCTCAGATCATGATCTCAGGGTCCTGGGATCGAGCCCCCACATCAGCCTCCTGGCTCAGCGGGGTGTCTGCTTCTCCCTCTCCCTCTGCCCCCTCCCACCCGCTCACTCTCTCTCTCAAATAAATAAAAGTCTTTGAAAAAAAATTCAGAGCAGTTCCTTTTACACTGCCTCGCACACAATAGGTGCCCACGGATGCTACTGGTTGAATGTCATGGTGCTGTGTCATTTGAAGACAATTACAGAGATCCAGCTCTGCTCTGTGGGGTCTGCTTTCCACATCGATGGCTGTGGTCGTAGATAGTTATGTGCTCACCACTTGATGCAGAACTTGCCAACTGAAATATCCCTGGATCAATAAGACTAATTTAGCCATAGGATACTCATTGCAGTACATTTTTGCAATAGTGAAAAAGTGAAGGGGATGTAAAGAGTCAACCATAAGTTCTGTATTTTTGCAGTGGAGTATTATGCAACCATTTCAAAGTATTATTACAAAAGAGCAGTTTAATGACCTGGAAATATTCATGTTTGTGAAAATTATATATATATATATATATATATGTACATATATATATAAAATATATAATTTATATAATTTGTATAATATATAATTTATATAATATATGTGATATAGTTAAATAAGCATATTGTATTTGTGTACATAATATATATAGAATTTGTGTATATAAAATAGTTAATATATAATAATATATATTATTTATTATATATTAAATAATATTGCATTCATCTAATACTTTGTCATGGTATGTTATTTATATATTAATGTAAATACAATTAATGATTTTTAAAAATCATATATTATTTTTTTCAGTGTTCCGAGATTCTTTGCACCACACCCAGTGCTCCATGCAATATGTGCCCTCCTTAACACCCACCACCAGGCTCACTCATCCCCCTGCCTCCTTCCCCTCCAAAACCTTCAGGTTGTTTCTCAGAGTCCACAGTCTCTCATGGTTCATCTCCCCCTCTAATTTCCCTCATTTCACTTTTCCTTTCCTTCTCCTAATGTCCTGCATGCTAATCCTTATGCTCCACAAGTAAGTGAAACCATGTGATAATTGACTCTCTCTGCTTGACTTATTTCACTCAGCATAATCTCCTCCAGTCCTGTCCATGTTGGTACAAAAGTTGGGTATTCATCCTTTCTGATGGAGGCATAATATTCCATTGTATATATGGACCATATCTTCTTTATCCATTCGTCTGTTGAAGGGCATCTTGGCTCTTTCCACAGTTTGGCGATTATCTTCCCCTATTCTTTGGGTTGCCTTTTTGTTTTGTTGACTGTTTCCTTTGCTGTGCAGAAGCTTTTGATCTTGATGAAGTCCCGAGAGTTCGTTTTTGCTTTTGTTTCCTTTGCCTTTGGAGAGATGTCTTGAAAGAAGTTGCTGTGGCTGATGTCGAAGAGGTTACTGCCTATGTTCTCCTCTAGGATTTTGATAGATTCCTGTCTCAATTAATGATTTATACATTAATCTATAATAAATATATACTACATAATACCATTATTATATTAATATTACAATAAAATATTATAAATAGTAGTATATATTTATATACTCAAACTCATATATATACATGTATGTGAAAAATCACTCATCTGATTATACAGACACATATATAAAGTGATCTTGTTAAAATATGGGTATAGATAGTCATACATATATGTTATAGTATTTATAGTTGTAAGACTATATATATCAAAATGTTAGTGATGATCATTGGGCTATTGTGGAATTGTGGCTGATTTTTATTTCCTTGAGCCTCTCTATATCTTTCTAACCATATATAATACCTGTATATTATCTTAATAATTAGAAAAAGTAAATTTTACTTAACAATAAATGCAATGTCAAACACAAACCTATCTCTAATCATTTTACTGCCAAGAAACTCATGTGTTGGGATATGAAGAAAAGACAAGCCCTCATGATCTCATACTGACTATGCATTTATTTGAGACTGGAGGCGTGCACACTTTGGGATTATCTGGTTGCAAAGAATAGATGGCTTGAGAAAAAAATTAATTTATTGGTAAGATGTAAAGCATATGAGAAAATGCAGCTCAGACCTCATGAAGGAGATGTGAAGGATTTCTGAACGTCAAGTAGCTGTTCTTTCTCTGCCAGTGCATGGTTTCCTCTGTCACTGCTGGCACATCTGCTTCTCTCTGGTCTGACTTCCAGCTACCCAGCAGGCTGAGTCTCTGGACTCCATGTGACTTTCCAGTTTAGGTACTCAACAGTGCCAGGCCCTCAACAGAGTTTCTGTTGCTAGTTCCAGATTCAGGAGGGGGAATATTATTCACCTAGTGTATATGTTAGCTTTTGCTCTATTACAAACTACCTCCAAAACTTAGAGACTTAAAACCCCAATTATTTAGCTTCCAAGTCTGTGGGTCTGTGGGCAGTTCTTCTGGTCCAGGCCAGGCTAAGCTGACCTCAGCTGGGCCAGTCAGCTGGCAGGCCAGCCATGGGGTGGTCAGTCTGTGATGACTTCTCCTTGGATGACTCTCTTCAGTGTTGTATCATCCCCCAGCAGGCTAGCCCTTGTTGACATGGTCTCAAGTTTCCCAGAAGGAGAAAGCACAGATGTCATGTTCCATATTGGCCAAAGCAAGTGAAAAGGCCAGCCCAGAGTCAGGAGGGAGAGAAGCAGACCCCTATCTTGATGGAAGCAGCTACAGAATCCTGTTGTAAAGAATGCAGTTACAGGGAGGGGAAGAATTCTGGCCATTTTTGCAATCTGCCCTTTAATCTGCCAAGCACCCAGGCTGACATGAGCTCCATCTTGTAGCTACATAACATTTACATATTTCCACATGGCCCCAGGGATTGAGGCAGCCGGGGAGAGAGAGACTGGAGATTTGTGCATAAGTTTTCCACTGTTTCACCCTGTGAGTGATATCCATCGTGTCCTCTCCCATTTCATGGCCAAAATCAGTCACATGGGCTCCACCTTACAGCAAAATGGCAGAATCATGAGTCAATGGAGTATTTAGTGGGTATTACTGTCTCTGCCACAGTGAGCCATCTACAGACCTATTTGATTATTCACAAAACTAGTGTCAGAAAAGTGGAGGGGCAGATAAGGATAGTGCTAGCGAGAAAATATATAAAAACATGACGAAGGAAGGTATCAGACATTACATAAAGCCATTAAGGAATCCCTAAGGCAGAAGGATAGGCCCAAAAGAGTCAGAGTAAGCAGGAAGAAAATCCAAGTATCTCAGCCTCTGAGAATCCAGAAGCATTCCATTCAGACCCATTCAGTGTCTCTTTTAATCTTCCATTCTGCCCCAAGAGCTAAGTCAACCCAGGAGACGAAGGCAAGTAGAGTCAAGGGTAGGAATCGGGGCTCTAGGATCAAGGGGTGAGAGGTCCTAAGCCAAGAAAATAAAGCTGAATATCAAGTTCAAAGAGAAAAGAAGGAAAGGGAGCATCAAGCAGTAAAGTCAGCAGTTGAGAGGCTGAAGCAAGATGGAATCAGGAGTGAGGAAGGGAAATGGGAAACTTGGATCCATCTCTTTAACACAGCACTGAATCCCTGAGCTCTGAGAAGGGGGTCAGAGCTCAGATTCTTTTTTTTTTTTTAAAGATTGTATTTATTTATTTGATAGACAGAGATCACAAGTAGGCAGAGAGGCAGGCAGCGGGGGAAGGCGGGGGCAGGCTCCCTGTTGAGCAGAGAATCCAATGCGGGGCTCGATCCCAGGACCCTGGGATCATGACCTGAGCTGAAGGCAGAGGCTTTAACCCACTGAGCCCCCCAGGCGCCCCCCCAGAGCTCACATTCTGCACAGCATCTGGTGGCAGGGGCAAGAGAGGGAACTAACAAAGGCAAACGGGACTGCACACTTGAGAATTCGGACCAAAGCCTTCAGTCTCCCACCACAGCTCGCTCCTATTCACCCATTTTGGCTTCCTTGTCTCTCATTTGGCCTTTGTGGCATCTCTTGCTTTCTCCAATTTCTCACACCTGAGATTTTAGCTTTTACAGTGACTCTATACATTCCAAGTATTTAAGGTTAGAGAGGCAAGTTGTTTTTTTGTTTTTATTTTAATTCCAGGATAGTTAACATACAGGGTAGTATTAGTTTCAGGTGTGCAATAGAGTGATTCAACATCCCATACATCACCTGTTGCTCATGGTGACAAGCATACTCCTTAATCCCCATCACCTATTTCACCCATCCCCCCACCTGGCCCCCCCTCCGGTGACCATCAGTTTGCTCTCTAGAGTTAAGATTCTGTCTCGTGATTTGTCTCTCTCTTTTTTTTTCTTCCTTTGCTCATTTGTTTTATTTCTTAAATTCCACATATAAGGGAAATCATATTTATCTTTCTCTGACTGACTTGTTTTGCTTAGCCTGATACTCTAGCTCCATCCACGTTGCTGCAAATGGCAAAATTCCATTTTTTTTATGGCTGAGTAATATTCCACACACCCCCCGTGTGTGTGTGTGTGTGTGTGTGTGTGTGTGTGTCTTCTTTATCCATTTATCTATCAATGCTATCAATGGATACTTGGGCTGCTTCCCAACTTTGGCTCTTGTAAATATTGCTGCTAAGAACAAAGGTTGCCTGTGTGCCTTTGCATCAGTGTTTTTGTATTCTTTGGGTAAATATCCAGTAGTGTGATTGCTGGATCAAAGGGTAATTCTTTTTTAAACTCTTTGAGGAAACTCCATACTGTTTTTGCAGAATGGCTGGCCCAGTTTGCCTTCCCACTGACAGTGCACAAGTGTTCTTCTTTCTCTACATCCTTGCCAACACCTGTTGTTAAGAGGAACAAGTGACTTTTTCTAAGGTGCAATGTTCAAAATATTAATCACAATTGCTGAGGTTTCCTTTGAATCCCTACCTCAAATTCCTACATGATCATGTGATTGTAAATATGGTTAGTGCCTCGTGGAAAGTACCACATAAGCCAGGTAGGGCAGGAATGCCCTCCAGGTACTGCTACTCCCCATTTCAAATAGAGACTTAGCCTAATGGTTGCCCATCAAGAGGAGGCAAAAGGCATTTGTCTAAGCACCACGCTGGGTTTGGTGAGACACAGAAAGAGAACCTTGCTTGACTTATTGTGCATTGTGTTGCAGGTCAGTGGGACCATGTACAACACTGGAAGACATGTGTCCCTGCGCCTGGACAAGGAGCACTTGGTTAACATATCAGGAGGACCCATGACATACAGCCACCGGCTGGAGGAGATCCGACTACACTTCGGGAGTGAGGATAGCCAAGGGTCGGAGCACCTCCTCAACGGACAAGCCTTCTCTGGGGAGGTATGTGGAGCTGTTGAAGTCCTAAAGCTGAGTGCCAATTAATAAGGCTTGGTGCCTATTTATACCCAAGGTGGGATAACAGATGGAAAGCTTTCTTTTAAATCTGTGAAATGAGAAGGTCAGTGCCTCCTTTCTCCATCTGTCTTTCTGCAAGTTGACTGGAAGTCTATAAACGTGCTTCCAGTTTTTTTAGGGAAGACCACAATGGAACTAGGTATTTCCTTCTGAGACATTGGCGCAGCTCTCATGACTCACGCCCTACAGTGGTCTCTGGTGCATTATTTTAACCCCAAACCCTCACTTTTCTTGCATACCTTCACTTAGACCTACCTGGACCATCAGCCTCTCATTGGAGGGTATAGGCTCCATAATTCTTCCTTCTGGCAGAATGGGTCTTATTTGCACAAAACTATAACTTACTGTGAAACAAATGTCAGGCAACTAAATGGTCTGCCTGACTTTCTACAGATTGGAAATGTCACTGTATGTCACCATTAATGATGAGTATCACTGTGTGCCACCATCAACCCAGATAGGATTCAGACCATAGCAGTGAGCCAAAATGGCTTCAATTATAGGATGAGAGCTATGGTTTAAACAGATATCATCCGGGTTCTGACCCTTGACAAGCACGGTCTAGTTAATTTGTCCTCTTACACTTTACGGTGGTTATCAACCAGGAGTCCAGGGTGCTTATATGCTAAATAGCCAGTAACTCTGTTTCTCTTTAAAAGTCCTCGGTAACTGATGTCGAGAAAGCTGTGAAATAACAGAAGTATGTATCTCACGATTGACTTGGTCTTTTTAATTTTATTTTCAATCAACATCGTGTTTAAACCTGGCATTGTTTTTAATACTCATACTATATTCGTAGGTGAGTATAGGGACCCTAATGGAAAAACTCCCTAGAATTGCAGTTTCTGGGCTAGAGTATAGAGCAGGGAAGATGATGAAAGCAGGGCAAAAGTCCATGAATTGAGAGTGACTGGGGACTACCAGTCTGAATTAGGGACTATTCTAAATTAGATAAACACTTCCTTTATAAATACATATTATTTACATATTATACATATTATTATATATACATATTATTTCAAGATTTGTAACTATTTTATTTGTTGGCTTACTTGGTCATTTCTTTGCTTTTCTCCCTCACTGAACTTTTACATTCTTCTCCTTATCATAATGTTGCCTCCAACTAAAAATTAATTTATTAATGAATTTATTCAATGAATGAGTGAAAAAAATGTGGGTGGTTACTTGGCTAAAATCTTTACTTTGTAGAATTCCTTAGAATTGCCTTTTCTTCAATATGTGATAAAGGGTGCATTGTAATTTGTATAAGAACTACAATTTTAGAGTAAATGAGTCTCTCCAAAATCCTTAAGGGAAACATATAACAAGTTGATCTCTCAAAGTATTAATTTTCCTAGACATACCCAGACTGCAGGTATCAGGCACTCCAAGGAATCTGCATTTTTAAAGCCCCCAGGAGAGTCTGTTGACTAGGTTTGTGAAACACTCACTCCACTAGCACATTATTAAGTGCTCTCAATGAATAGAGCCTCTAAACAGAGTTGCAAGTGAGAATTAACTGGGGACCATTGTCAAAATATTTACATTTGAATCCTAAAGCAATTGAATCAGGGCCTCAAGGAGTGGAGTCCAGCTATGCACACTTGTAGAAATTTTGGTGAGTGACCACTGGGCCACTTCTAGCCCTAGCTCTGCTGGAATTATCCCAGTTTTCTAAACAATGAGAACTTAATCAACCAAACCATATTGTACAAGAATTAAAAAGGGCACCCAGGTGTCATTGCAAATGGCAAAGCTGGGTGCTGTCTAGATGGATGGGATCTGGGGAATAGCTTGCCAAGAAGGCAAGCCAGAGCCTTGGCCTCAGCACAAGAACTCTCACACTTGGTCGTGGGCAGACGACATCAGCTATGTCATATTTCTTTCCAAGCCCCTCAGTATGAGTGGTCTCAGTATGGAGTGGATTCTGAACTGGTGTGGGTTTAGGTGGAAGAAATCAAAATGCTAGAAGCACCCAAATAATATCACGTGGCTAAGTATTAGCCTTTGAGATATTTAAGAGTTTAGTGACCAAGAAAAGTTTGGCGCCTTCTCTGTGGCATGAGGGAAAAGACCTAGTCCATGGATGGAAGTCCTAGACAGATGGAGTTCAGCAAAATAAATAATACGTTCTAACAGTGAGAGCTATCCATTGCTGGAATGAGTTTGCCTCTGAAAATAGTGAATTCCCATCACTGGAATTATTAAGCATGGAATGGAATTTGAGGACTTCATAAGAATGACTCACCTCATATCCTCATGAGCAAGGAATGCACCTTCTAGTGCTGAAATCCCATGCAATCCATGATTTCCTGCTAGAAAATGTCCCCCAACCAGATTCCACTGAGTGTTAGCCTCAGTTAGAGTACATATAGCCCATCCTGTAGGTCGGTGTCTTATTTTTATTTTGTGTTCTCCTCAAAGCCACCTTTGGTCTCTGTTTTTGGCTATCCTCTGAGAGCACCTAAGTAGACACTTCTAGCAACAGAGCGTGTGTTTATTTTGTTGACAATGAATAATCACATCGCCATCTGTCCCATCTATCATCACTGATCGTGATAAGTCAATTAATGCCAGGCATTTTCCTTGGCACAGTGCAACAGTCGTTATCTCAAGAGCTGTAGATTAATTGCAGTCTTGTCTAGTGAGGTTATTGTAATTGATGGTAATCATTTGCTTTGTTTTATAAAGCTGCGTGGATGTACGACACAGTCTGCAACCACATTTTTTTTTTTAATTATTCATGTCCTACATGGAGCACTCCTGGACGCCTTGTTGGGGGTCGGTGATAAATGAGTATATTCAGGGATTCAAATATCTCCATTTTTTTCAAGAAGGGAAAATGAACCGTTCTTAATAAGGAAGACCCTTTGCTTGCTAATCGTGTCTAACTGGTTAGATTCATGTCCTCTCTAAAGTAGGGTATTTATGAAAAGAAACAAATGCATTAACCAGGCAGAAGATAATATTTGAAAAGAATCATGGGGATGGATGAAGTTACAATAGTGAGGCTAGACAAAAACAAAATAAGTTTTCTTATTGAGGGGAGGTTGGAAAGATTCATTTTGAACACTTTCTTGAAGTTCTTTCAGAAGGCCCAAGGGAGGGTATATACTGAGACTCATGCCCGCCATTTTGTAGAAAACCTCTGCCAGGTCCTCCTGTTCGTGCCATCCATCTTCCCATGCCTCCGGTCCTCCTGCTGTGTGCTGAGCTCCACAGCCCTGCATAGCAGACAGTCTACTGAGGGACACATATATTTAAAATACAGTGTCACATGGCTTGTATTTGAGGATGCTTCTGGAAGAGGCTTATGAAGTAGGTCTCTTGGGACTGTTTTAAGTAGAGGACAGATGGACGCCTGTGTGGCCGGGCATGGTTGCTGCTCTCACTGAAGGTGAGCTAGGAACATGAGCCTTTCCAGGCTCAGCCTCTCAAATCTCTAAGTCTGCTCACACACATCTGAGCAAGGAACCGGTCCACAGCTATGGCCATGAATGTGAAAAGACTGCTTCCTTTAAAAGGGGGAACAAAAGTCATATTTATTTATGTGTTTGGTGGCTTGTTGGTTGGCTTACCTATTTATTTAGTGGCTCTGAACCAGGAAAGGGAAAATAATTATCTCCATGCAAACAACTGAGAAGTGCAGAAAATGCAGGCCCTGTCCCCTTCCAGGAGTCAGTTACATGCATCCTTTAGAGACTGGCTGCGCTGAAGCCTCACAAATTTGGAGGAATACGCAACATTGAATTGTTCCAAAGTGTGCTAGAGTATAAAAAGCGCTGAGGAGCACATCACGGAGAACCAGGGCCCCATTAGGCACGGAATGGCTCTGGAGGGAGGTACTCAGGCAATGTAATTAGCGCTTTGCCGGGAGGCTGGGACCTCCTTGTAGAGATGTTCATTGGCACAAGTGGAGTTTTGAAGGGGAATGAGAATTGGGATGTTTAAGAATAACAGGGACATGGCTGTACATATGGAAGAGCTCCCTGAGAGCCGTGGTAATGGTGTTCCCTCTGTCCTGAATGCCAGCTTTCTCTCTCTCTTCCTTATTCCCGCACAGCCCCCCATCCCCAACCCAAGAGCTTTCCAAGCCTCCTTCCCTCCTCCCAGACAGTGACTCCCAGAGAATCCTCCATATTCACCAATTTAGTGGTCCGCAAGCTATAGCCTATGGACCAAATTCAGTCAAGTAGCTAAGCATGGTTTACATATTTAAAGGATTTTTTTTTCCCCAAAGAAGAACATGCAACAGAGACCCTGTGTGGCCTGCCAAAGCTGAAACAGTTGCAAAATATCTGATCTTTTACACAGAAATGTTGCTGACCCCAATCTATTAAATTGCTCATCACTGTAGATTTTATAACTGTTTACTCTCAGTTCTCTTCGAAATGGAGTTCTTTGTTGATAGAGATTTTATTTTGATCATCGCTTTATTCCCAGCCCTTTGTACATTGTCGGACACATGAGGGCAGAGTCATAAGTGTTTACTGAATGAAAGAATAAATCATCTTCCTTCACCCCTTAAAGACAGAGACCCTTTTCACTACTCATCTTTGTATACCATACACCTAGCACAGTACCCAGCATTCTGTAAGTGCTTAATTGATGTTTGTGGAATGAGTCATTCAGTCACTGAATCCCATAATTCAATCAACTACTGGCAACCTAGGAATTCAAAACTTAAAGGCTTTTTTCCTGGAATTTTGGGTGTGTTGTATTCATTGACTACACCAGGAATATGCAACTTCCTTTAAATTGAAGGTGAAGGGTTTCGATAAAGGCTGTCCAAAGCACTGAGTTCTGTTAGAAACTGGAAAAGAGAAAGAGTGGTTTAGTTCACAGCTACCATGAAGGCATGTTCTGGGCTTTCTTTAAGAAAGGATTATACTTTGAGAGATTCAAAATTTATTAACAAGGTCCTAACCCAGCCCTATCCTCAGTGTGGTAAAAAACACAAAATGATTGAACAATTAAGTGTCACCTTGGAGGAGCAAGACAGAGACTTGAGTCAATTACTCTGTAGCACAACCCAGAACTTGCCCGGCTCGTCCACAGGTGGTTATGGAGTCTCACTGCTAACATCTGGCCACTGTTGATGTGCTTCCTGATTTGCTTTTCATTCATTCCCTCCTTCATTCATTCAGCTAACAAATATTGAGTGCCTACCATATGTTCCAGTGAAGAAAATAGATAAAAGTCCTTCCTGTATGGTGCTTGCAATCAAGTGAAAATGGACAAATAATAAATAATAACCATAATAAATGAGTCAATGCATGTGATAAGTTAGAAGAGGATCAATGTTATGGGAGAAAAATAGAGTCAAGAAGGACCAGAGCATGAGGAGTGAAGGTAATGAGTTACAAGGGTAAGCAGGGTGGTCCGTGTAAGCTGTATTGAGACAATGCCATCTGTGAGGTTGCCATAGAGATGTCTAGGGGAAGGACGTTCCAGGCAGTAGGTAACAGCTGGTACCATGGCTTTGAAGTGGGAGAAAGCTATGAGCGTTCTAGGAAGAGGGAGAGGAGCATGAGCGCAGGGTAAATGAGAGGGCATGAGAAGTCGGGGGAGGGGGGGTGTGGCGCCAGTCCACATCAGGTCATCTTTTCCTTTGTATGGACTTTGTATGTGCTTTGTATGGACTTTGGCTGTTATTCTCAATGAATTCCGAAGCACAACACAAATTCTCCCATTTAATCACCCAACACTAGCTCAGTGAAATTACCTCTTAGTATTGTCTCCCTCTGAACCTAGAGAATCTAAGGCCTTAGACCATGCAGACAGTAAATGATCGAGATTGGGCTTAGCTCAGGTCCTCTGATTCATAACATCGCTTAAACAAGCCAAGCTTTACCTACCCATAAACCCCAGAGTAGTGACTGCTCACCTACTCTGGGCCCCAGCCCAGGGGGGATTTCAAAGATCTGTAGACCATGGCAAAGACCCCGACTTCCCAGAATGTCAGCTCCCAGAAGTCACAGAGTAGGTTATACTTTTTTTTTTTTTTAAGATTTCATTTATTTACTTGACAGATACAAGCAGGCAGAGAGGAAGGCAGAGGGCGGGACGGAAGCAGGCTCCCCGCCAAGCAGAGAGACCAATGCAGGGCTCAATCCCAGGACCCTGGGATCATGACCTGAGCCAAAGGCAGAGGCCCCAACCCACCAAACCACCCAGGTGCCCCTAGGTTGTACTTTTTAATATGTCCCCATACATGTGATAGGCACCTGACAGATATTACTGAATGAAAAGATTGAGTGAGCAAATGAAGATAACTTAAAAGATGACAACTTTAAGAGTGTCTAAATTATGCCCAGTCTATCATGAATTCAGTTCTATCATCGTAATGGCAAACCTATAAAGTTAATGTCAATATCAACATAAGTTCTACATATGTTAAGTTATTCACAAATGCAGAGTAAGTGAATTCTTCAGAGTCCCTGGGAGGAGGAATGGAACAATGGATAGCCAACATGCTAGAAAAATTCATGTAGATTCCTCATTTCAGGCCCTGGAATTACTCCCAGGATCAGACCAGGGAATTTATCTTTGCCAATGCTAGAAGCCAAAGTTCTGGATCCCAGGAGCCATTCCCACTCAGAGTTAGCAAACTGGCCTTTGAGAAGCAAAGCAAACAGAAGTCGGAAGCCCAAATGGTGGTAGGGCCTATTATGATGATGCCAGCAAGTAGATGAAGACTATGATCTAAGGATAGAGAGTCTTGCCTTTGGACATTCTTATAATTACTTCTGGGAAGGGACAACTCAATCAAGTCAGCAGCTTCCTGAATTGCTAGTTTTAGATGGACACCATGGGGCAGCCAAGGAGAGAAACACTGCAGTTAAAGACAACTTGCTGAGGTCAACTCATTATCCCGTGGGCTCCCATTCCAACCTGCAGCATACCTCTGACCTGGTCCTGCCAGGATGCCATTATGACAGCCACCATGGTCTTCTACTGGACTCTAATCTTCTCCCTGGTGTTCCGTCTAAAGCAGGGAAGGAGGTATTACATTACAAAGACATTAATGTAAAAGATTATATTTTCTTACATTTTTACATTTATTATATTATTATTTATTACATTATTACATTTATTATATTATTTTACATTTTTACATTTATTATATTACAAAGACATTAATGTAAAAGACATTACCTGGGACTTGATCAAGGTTCAGCCTAGAACATAATGGTCACCATGGAGACCATCAGTGTTTGGTTTTACAAGTGTCAAATGTGGTCTTTCTTTATTTAGTAACCAATGACATTGCAATTAAGGAGGGTACTGGACCCGACACTTCTACCAATGAGGTGTACATTTTACACCCCTTTCCAAAGCCACAGGAATAAAATCAGCTGGAAAAGAAAGATGTGAAGTAAGAGTGACCAATTCACTACTACTCTGACCACTGTCAAGTGTTCACAAAATTTGCAGAGGTTCCACCAAAGATCACATCTCCTACTTCAAGGGATAGACCTGCTATTGAAAAGAATGAGTCTGCTGAAAGCCTCCGTCTGAAGTGTTACAATTGGAGGTCCCATGGAGGTCACCTCTTCCAAACCACTTACTGTACAATAGAAAAATCAGATGACAGAGAGGATAAGAGCACTGCCCAAAGTCACTGAGAGTCAGTGACAGAATTAGGACCCAAACTTAAGTTCCTGGCGCCCTAGTTTGAGATTTAAAATTTTTCAGATAAAAATGTAAATTATGTACAATCCCAAGATTCAGCGGGCCCTTTGAGTCCATCTGGTTTAGTTGCCCCGCAGAGCAGGTGTAGTCTGATAATCAGATTCCCTAGCTTAGTGAGCAGAACCCATCACAAGAACATTTATGCAGACAGCCTCAAAAAGGCAGAGACATGGAAGATTACTTTCCAAACATGAGCACTCATCAGCATCCCTGTGGAGAGGGTTCTAGAAGACACCAAATCACCCCCAACAAAAATACCACCCATGTGAGAACTGTAATAGTGCCTGATTGCAAGAAATGTAGAAATGAAAGACTGGAAGACTAAAATAGAAAGTAAAATTCCTGAAAGACCCTTTAGTTGGTCTTAATATGAAAAGGCAATCATGAGGACTTGAGAATAGAAGCCATGCTTTTCTACAGTCTGAATCCCCCCTTCTGCCCACACTCCCCCATAAACATCTAGAACAGCTTCGTAATATTAAATATAAGTAATCTAGATAATAATATTGCAAAATTAAATCATGAGATGTCTAGCCGCTCCATGGATGTGCTGCTATACAATTCAAAATAAAGCCGTTTAAAACCCTCAGATTCATTTGCTCTGACATATCGATAAACTTTTGCTGAAACAAAGCTAATCATCTCAATGGTGCTGACTTAATTGCTCGCCAGTTGACGGATAATAAACCGACCTGAGGATTAAAATATGAACTAATTACTGTACTCAATTCCATTTACTTGATTTCATGTTCCATTAATTTTTTGCATCATTTCTGGTGGAAGCCTTAGATTTACGGTCGCCCTGAATGAATTATACCAGTTAGTTGCCTGTGGCATGCTCGTGTTCAGAATTGGTTGGAAAGGGCAGAATTCTGGGCAGTAAATATTTAGCCAAAGCAGCCTAGGATATAGTAAGTGAAGGTAATTATCCGTTCCCAAATACCAGCCAGAGTCAGCCTCTATAAATCTATCCCCATCTCAGCAGTAAAAGGGCAACACTAGGATGGCTCTCATGATTATTGGATCAGCTTGGTAGAGGCCATTTCCAAGAGCAGTAGTTGCTTGGTCCGGAAGAGGGCTGCAGGGAAGCAGGGGCAAGCACACCGTGGGGAAGGGACAGTGGCCTGGGAGTCAGATACTTGTTGTACTGGATGGGGGCTAACGTTTTTACTTCAAAGATCTGCCTTCAACATGCCATTCTGACACCTGCTAGCTGTGTGATCTCAGGAAGGTCAAAACGGGACAGATCACTTAGCCTTCCCTACCCTTTTAAAACTCTGATCTGGGTTTAATAATACCAGTCCCATAGATGCAATCGGTTGATTGTGTATTGAGAAAAAGCGTTCCTGTGATAGGGCTTCTTAAGCTATAAAGTGCTGTGCCAGTCATCTAGTCCAAAGTCTTCGCAGAGAGGACATATAAAGATAATCACAATGTGCCAAGGTGGTTGCTACCGTCGGCTTTCATTTATCAAGCATGTCCTATGACCCAGTTCATAGTTCATATTTCTTCTCACACCCAGGGCTCACAATGAACCTGTGAGCTAACACTTGGAAGTACCATTTTTACAAAAAGGAAAAAAAAAGTCAGAGAGATTAAAGAACCAGCTTCAGTCACATGGTCCATTTGGGGAAGAGTGGGGATTTGAACCCAGGTCTCTGGCTTCAGCTATGCAAAGTCAGGGCACCTAACTGGTTCTGCTTCTAAGTAGCTGCTTGATCACAGGTTAAGCTCCTTTTCTCTAATCACAAGTGCCCTGTGTGTCACCTGAGAGGATGCTACACCAGCCTCAGGAGTAATCTGCACTTTTTCTGGCTATAAAGGGAGACAGAAGCCTATCTCTCCAAGTGGCATGCACTGCAAGGGGAAATATTCACTTCCGTGCACCTGCTGAGGACTGTAGGTCCCTCCACCTGCCCCTCTCAGATGGACAGTAATTGGGATGTTACATACAGATGCACAGTGATTTTTTTTTCTTGCACATCTTTGAAACACAATAAACAAGGTATTGCTTATCTGTAAATTCGTTTCTGTACAAACACATCTGTTTCCCTCTGCAAAACGTGGGAAGCCTTATTCCTTAGTCTCAGAGGTGGCTTGGGCAAATGTATTTTCTTACAGTGGATCTATTTGCTGACCTAGAAATTTCTGGATTGAGACTTAAACATGGACCCTGCAGGAGCTCTTTGGCAAAGTGAGCTTAGCCAGGAGGTTTTAGATCACACTCCTGGCCAGGAAAAAGGGGAAGGCCCAGCGATCACCAGATACCTGCCCCAGGACTCAGCCCCCTGCTCCAGGTTTTTCAAAGGAAATAGCAGTGTCTGCTTCAGGAAAGACCATTGTGGTAGACCCAAATAGCCACCCAGAAAAACTGTTGTTTCTGTGAGGTCCTTGGTGGGGATCACACATTTCCTGTTGCACCTGCCTGTCTAGGGCTGATATATTTCCCTGCCTCCAGGTGATGAGCTAGGACCTACTTACATGAGCAGTGGTTAATCACAGAGTTTAAAATTGCCAGAGTTATTCATTCCTATGTTTGAATCTGGCTTTGTCACACACACCTGTGACCTTGGGCAAGTTACTCAACCTACTTGTCCCTCAGTTTCCTTATTGATGAGATTAACAGCAATGGCCATCGGTGGGACTCCCCTCCCCAGCTTTATTGAGGTAGAGTTTACCTACAATGAAAGTCAGCAGTTTTAACTGTACAAGTCAATATATCTTCGTAAGTACATAGTCATGTAACCACTGCTACGGCCATGATCTCAAGCCCTTTCATCACCACAAAAGGTGGCCTCATGTCCCTCAGCAGTCAAGCCCCTCACCCCTGGAAACCACTGATGTGCTCTCCCTGTAGTTTTGCTTTTTTCAAATTTCAATGGACTCATACAGTATGTAGTCATTTTATTTTTTTAATTTTATTTTATTTTTTCAGTGTTCCAAGATTCGTTGTTTATGCACCATACCCAGTGCTCCATGCAATACATGCCCTCCTTTATACCCACCACCAGACTCACCCATCCCCCCAAACCCCCTCCCCTCCAAAACCCTCAGTTTGTTTCTCAGAGTCCACAGTCTCTCATGGTTCGTCTCCCCCTCCTTCTTCCCCCAACTCACTTCTCCTCTGCATCTCCCAATGTCCTCCATGTTATTCCTTATGTTCCACAAGTAAGTGAAACCATATGATAATTGACTCCTTTGCTTAACTTACTTCACTCAGCATAGTCTCCTCCAGCCCCGTCCATGTTGATATAAAAGTGGGGTATTCATCCTTTCTGATGGAGGTAGAATACTCCATTGTATATATGGACCATATCTTCTTTATCCATTCATCTGTTGAAAGTCATCTTGGCTCTTCCCACATTTTGGCAATTGTGGCCATTGCTGCTCTGAACACTGGGATACAAATGGCCCTTCTTTTCACTACATCTATATCTTTGGGATAAATACCTAGTAGTGCAATTGCAGGGTCATAGGGTAGCTCTATTTTTTTTTAAGATTTTATTTATTTATTTGATAGACAGAGATCACAAGTAGTCAGAGAGGCAGGCAGGGAGAGAGGAGGAAGCAGGCTCCCCGCTGAGCAGAGGGCCTGATGCGGGGCTCGATCCCAGGACCCTGAGACCATGACCTGAGCTGAATGCAGAGGCTTTAACCCACTGAGCCACCCAGGCACCCTGGAGTAGCTCTATTTTTAATTTCTTAGGGTATCTCCACACTATTTTCTAAGGTGGCTGCACCAAGTTACATTCCCACCAACAGTGTAACAGGGTTCCCCTTTCTCCACATCCTCTCCAACATTTGTGGTTTCCTGCCTTGTTAATTTTCACCATTCTAACTGGTGTAAGGTGGTATCTCGATGTGGTTTTGATTTGAATCTCCCTGATGGCTAATGATGATGAACATTTTTTCATGTGTCTATTAGCCATGTATATATCTTCTTTGGAGAAGTGTCTGTTCATGTCTTCTGCCCATTTTTTGATGTGGTTATCTGTTTTTTGAGTGTTGAGATTGAGGAGTTCTTTATAGATCTTGGATATCAGTCCTTTGTCTCTAGTGTCATTTGCAAATATCTTCTCCCATTCTGTGGGTTGCCTTTTTGTTTAACTTTATTGTTTAAATGATCTACATTTAAATTAACTGTTTTCCTTTGGCATACAGTTCTCTGAACTTTCGCATGTACAGATTTGCATAACCATCATCATAATTAGGATACAGAACCATTCTACCCTGTAGGGTTGTTTTCAGGATTAAGAGTATTGGTATATGTAAAGTGCCCAGAACAGTGTCTGGTGTGCAGTGAGCGTTCAGAAATAGTAGCATTTACTGGCAACAGTATGCTTCTTCAAGGTCCATCTGTCAAGGTCAACATTTCTACCCTCTGTCCCCATCTAAGAATCCAGAGTGGCATCTGTGCAGCAGGTGAATTGCCTACATTTCACCTTTTCTGATTGCTGATTTCTTATTGGTATCAATACTCCCTAGAAGAGGGCTGCACATGTGC